ATAAATGGTTGTCACCACTTGAACCAAGGTTCCAGATAAGACACTAAAAGAGATGTGAAAACAACATTTTGGTTGCACAAAATACTGATAAAAAAATAATAAACAAGTTGCTAAAATAATGTAGTATAACTAACCCGTGTTGAATCCCACAAGGACACAATTATAGGAATGCACTCATTACCATATATCATTTTCTCTAGAAACAATAAATAATAATTAATAGGGGATGAATGAAAGAGTGAAAAGAAATAAATTGATGCAAAATAATAAAAATTAAAATTGAATAGCTATAGAATCTTAAAGACAATTAAAATTAAATTGAACAAAATTTAAATAACTAAAATTTATAATATTAAAATAAAGTGCTTTTAATTAAAGATGCAAAATAAAAAATTATTTTAAAATAAAATAATGCAGTAATTAAAATTAAATTAATGTTGAATTTGAATAACTAAAATTGAAAAAATTAACATAAAGTGTTTTTAATTAAAAGTGCAGGAATTAAAAATTGCTTTAAAATAAAATAGTACAGATAATTAAAATTAAATTTATGGAAGCGATCATTCTAAAACTAAATTGAGAATTAGAATTGGAAAATAAATGAATTGAAAATGAAAATTAAGCAATACTTGGAATAAATACAAATTCTAAGCAATTAAATAGCATAAATTAAAATGAGCACTGAGTGAATAAAGTAAATAAAACAAAATAAACTCAAAAATTCAATAGAAATTGAAAATTAAATAAAAAAGAACAAACCAAAAGGATAGTAGCAGTAGATGAGCTCGCCTAACTAAAAACTAAGGACAGAAAAGAAAACGAGGATGAAACTAAATAATATCTCACCTCGAAGTAGGAGATTATGATTGTGTTGTCATAAGACCTTTATTTATAGGGGATTGAACAAGATAATTAAACCTAAATTTAATTACAATAAAATCAAATTTTCCCAAATAAAAAATTACAAAATTGGATTATTGTGAACATAAATTTTTGGGATTGATTTGGATAAAATAATTTACTTCTTTCGTATTTTGAGTGATTTAGCATTGATTTTCATTTAATTATTCATTCCTATTGGCATTTAATTCAACTAAATTGGATTCCCGCACTAGTTAATTTATTTGATTCAAAACAAGCCCTTAGACGTTGGTTTGCCAAATTGGCTGGTGCTAGAAAACAATATGGATTCACACAATCTCTTTCCATCTATTCATTATTTACTCTACAAAAGAATTCAATGCAACTTAACGTCTTAGTTTATGATGTATAATAAACTAAGGTACAAAATTTAAAAAAGATAAGGTGCATAATTTTAAGCAATAAAGTAAGCAAACCCAAGAAAAATTTCTATTGGACAATAAGATAGTTGCCTATCTAGATGTGAAGGTTCATTTTCAAGGATTGTGGAGGGAGAAGGAGATAGAATGAAATTAGAAAAGAATAAAGACAAGAGATGAAAAAATGGACTAGTCCCTTGAATAAATAAATAGAGTGAAAAAATAAAGAAGAAAATATGAAGAGAAAAGAATTATGGTAGTGGTGGAGTGTTGGCATGCCACTAGGGGATGAACCACCCTAAATAAGTGGTGGTTGCCGCCACTTGAACCAAGGTTTAAGATAAGACACTCAAAGAGATGGAACACTCTAAGAAACCTCACAAACTTGTCATAAATGTTCAAACTCATTACATGAGGGAAAACCTTCTATTAATAGGCTTTGGGGGAAGGACCTAGATGAAATTACAAAATGAGACATAAACTTAACCTAAACCTAAAGGCTAAGAGTCCTCATGGTCCAAATATGTTAAATTTGTCCTAGCCCACCAAAAATGCCTCTATGGGTATGTAGAACATGAAAAAGGAGATGAGATCCTCTATGGACTGTCCAAAGCCAATCAAACCCGCAAGTCAAGCTTCTTCCTCTTCAGAAAGGGGTGTAAGACATGAAAAATGAGTGTCATGCACCTTTGGGCTGCCCACACATGTATCCTATGTATCCAAGCCCTCTTTTCCAACAAAACGAGGTGATATTCTTCAAAAAAGAGGTGCAAAAAGTGAGTCTACAAAAAAAAAACAAAAATAATTCAAAAACATGGAAAATAACATACTCAATAAATTAAAAATGAGGGGTAAGAAGGAAACCTCCCTTTTAGCAATGCTCCTAGTGATTTCCTCTGGATGACCTCTCCCTTCTCCAGGGCAACTAGAGACTCATCATCCTCCCCGCCTTGGAGAGAATTCGTCAACAAATTTTGAAAACTTTTTTAATCCCCTTGTCTTTCTTTTCTTTCTTCTCTTTTTTTTTTTTGCATTTTTTTGTTGTTTTCCATTCATCTCCTTTAATCCTTATTTATTTATTACCTCTCCTCAAATCAATCTTGGAAAATATGGTAGCACCATGTATCTCACCAAGCAAGTCATCAAGTCTAGGGATGAGTTGCCTATACTTTACGTTGTTAACAAACCTACAGTGTTGAACCACTACAACAAAAACATCAAATAGTGACCGAATTTTCGGTGACTAACTAAAATCATGACCGATCGAGTCAATCACTATATCGGTCACTAACAAAAACATTAAAAATATTTTTTTATAACCCCGGTAGGATTCAAACCCAATACCTTAAAGTTAGAAACTAATACTCCCACCACTAAACTACTAGAATTTTTTGATAATAATTTATAAATAAATTATATTTATATACAAATAAAAATATATATACTGTGTAAATATTAAAATATAAATTATATAAATACAAATACAAGTATATTTATATATTTATATGTTGGATGTGAGGGCGCGCTCGAGGGTGAAAGTGCGTGTTGAGTGGATTTTCAAAATTTGATGTCAAATTTGTGCGCGAGTCTCTTTATATAGATTTGTAATTTAATGATAGAATATAATCTTTATAATTTATTTATATAATGATATAAAATAATTGTTTTCTTTATTTATTTTAATTTTAATTTATTCTTTTTATCTTCTTTTTATCTTCTATTATTTAATTAAAATTCTTATATTAAAATAATTTTTTCAATATTAAAAATAATTAAATATTTATTTTTAAAATTATTTAATTTAATAAATTATTATAAATTAATCTAATTATGATTATTAATAGAACAATTTTTTCCTAACATATATTATTTTAAATTAATCAAAATCATCTTTTAATAATTATTTTTTCCAAACATAGATTAATTCATAATAATTTGTTAAATTAAATAATTTTAAAAAATAATTTTGAAAATAAATATTTAATTATTTTTAATAATGAAAAAATTATTTTAATATAAGAATTTTAATTAAATAATAGAAGAAAAAAGAAGATAAAAGGAATAAATTAAAATTAAAATAAATAAAGAAAACAATTATTTTATATCATTAGATAAATAAATTATAAAAATTATATTCTATCATTAAATTACAAATCTATATAAAGAGACTCGCGCACAAATTTGACATCAAATTTTGAAAACTCACACGACACACTTTCACCCTCTAGCGTGCTCTCGACATCGAACATATAAATATATCAAAAAATATAAATATATTTGTATTTATATATTTTATATTTATATATTTACACGGATATACATTTATTTGTATATAAATATAATTTATTTATAAATTTTTATTAGAAAATTCTAACGAGTTTAGTGGTTGGAGTATTAGTACACTACAAGAATTTTACATATTAGCTATGACACATTCAGTAGTTATTTTATAGCTAATATCTCATCTGGTATGTTTTGCTATAGATTAGCTACGGAATAGCTATGGAATAGTCCGTAACTAAATCCAAGTAGCTAATTAGATACAGATGTAATCTCTCTCAAATTTGTAGCAAATTTTGTCGCTAAACTGTCACTAAATCCCTCGTTAATTTAAATGATGAAATTTTGTTTATCTCTATCTAATTTGATCTCCCAAAACTTGTAGCTAATCCGTAGCTAATCTCTCGCAATTTCGCTCTCGCTAATCCGTAGCTAATCCCTCGCAATTTCGCTCTCGTTAATCCGTAGCTAATCTCTCACAATTTTTCTCTCGCTAATTCGTAGCTAATCCCTCGCAATTTTCTCTCGCTAATATGTAGCTAATCCTTGACAATTTATCTCTAGCTAATATGTGGTTAATGCCTCGCAATTATTTCCTCGCTAATCCGTAACTAATCCTTTACAATGTTTCTCTCGCTATTTCATAACTAATCTCTCACAATTTTTATCAAAATTTATAATATCAAATATTTAAGATTTAAATTATTACTCATATTCTTAAAAAAGGAAGACAAACTTTATATCCTTTTGACAATACGTAAACGGGTGGATAACTCAGAATCGTGAGTTAATAACCTTGGATCCAAAATCTTTATATGACATCAATACATGCAATTATGTGCTCATATCCTACACTAAGTCAATTGTTTAATGCATTCTCTATAATGAGGTTTTAGAAATATGTTCCTACAACTTTCAATAATGCAACCTTTTTGAAGATGAGACAAGCATCCACAAATTAGTTGCCGTCCACATACAAGAACTTAATTTTTAAAATTGTATTGATACCACATAAAACCTTTTAATTCAAAAATATCATATAAAAAAAAATCAGAAAAAGTTATTCGAACTTCGGAATTACATCGTAATCAACTTTCAGGTAAAGCCAAAATATTGATGTGTGCATCAAATTAAACCATATATTCAGAATCATGAACCCTCAACAATGCAAATATCAACCACCTTCGCATATCGAATTCATCTATAGTTTACCAATTACATGACAAACCAAAGCACAACATCAGTGACTATGGGTTTCAAATCTTCTAAAACCACTATAGAAAGCAGATAAGATTTTTATGTTAGTTAAAATGAAAATTATAATAATAAATTGAATGACAAACAATTTCCTATTTGATACTCTAGTCACAAATCCTCTAGTGATAATACATCATCTATCCTACACAATACTAATCTATGTGTAAATTGGGGCATGAATTACTAAGCCAATGCCTTCATATTCTTGCTATGGTCAACAATAACATGCTCCCACATCAAAATCATGATCAGTTTGGCTAGAGCCAAGTACTGGTTGTGTGTCACTGAGCCCATTCTGCATCTTTCTCGCACATCACCAGATCCTATAAGCTACAAGTTTACAATAACCCATTCTCTCTTAAGTTTTCTTTGCCCCCAGCTCAGAGTGGAAACGTAGGATTGGTACCAGACTTTCAGGGTAGAACAGGAAGTTTCACCTTGTCATAGGAAAAGAAACTGACCCTTCCCTCTGTGACCTAGCAGATTTTCAAAGGAATGCCACCACATTGTTTCTCAAGAGATTCAATCTCTACTTTAGATGGTGGATGACCCCTAACAGAAGATACATGTTATAAAAGAGTAATAGATTTCCAATAACAGATAATAAAAAAGAGTGCAGAAAAGAAACTAGAACTAAGGACAATTTTTCATAGCTATTAATTTGTGTCAAAACCATATTAGTCATTAAGTTTTGTATTTTTTCCTTGCGCTATTCTATTCTTTATTACAGTCTAATTTTACTAATTAATACTAGGTTTATGTATTTAGAAACAATCCCATAATCATAGGGATTTGTCTCCTTAGAATTGGCAGTCCATATTTCTTAAAATAACTGGCAGGCTCATGTATTGATAGGTCTAATGACCTCATAATTGATACAATAAAGTAGAATATTATTTCTTCTAAATTTGAGAATCAATAAGAGGTAAATAATCAATGTCAATATTTTAAGTTAATTTTTAAAAATAAATAACCATAATTGATATATACCTACAATGACTACTTGCTCACACTTGTTCCCACAAAAATTAGAACTATTCATCCAAGTCTCAAATGGCTATCAACTTCTCATGGATGTATTGAAGTATATCTAACAGAAAATAGATATATGTACGTATGAAATTGCATTTACCTATTTTCATTATAAGAGAACAGACAGCCACAATGCCTTTATCAATTTTTAGTGTTTACTGTGAGAAATAACATGGTCACACCTTACAACCCCCCAACCCGAACACACACTGCCACGCAATGAAGCAGCGTGTCTGCCAGTGTGAATTCCTCTGATACAAAGATCACTTACCAATGAAATTTCAGAATCTAAAGTAATCATACTGATGCAATGAGAGACGTAGTTATTACCTACATAAGTATAGTAGAAAATTTGGATCACCAGGGGAAGACTTTCTAAACCGGCTATTTGGAAGATAAACATCAAAATCTGGCATCAACTCATTAATCTGCAAATCAGAAAATAACTTATCGATGGCAAGCTCAGATTTGGAACCCATATCTGCTAGTCCATTGCTTTATGATATCCATTGATTTGGAACCCTTTAACCCCCCATGCAATAAGAACAATCTGCGAGCAGAAAAAGTGAACTTCATGCCGGTCAACCATAGAGATAAAACACAGTATGATAGTATGCGTGTGCCAATAAGTACTAATATGACCCGAGGACTTACCTCTGGTTCTCAATTATAGGTACGCGAGAAAGAACAAATTCACAGAGGAAATTATCATTATAAAATATGCTGAATTCTATCAAAAAGAAAGACGCAGAGGAAATTCCACTAAGTAAACCCCCTCTGCTGGTGAACTGTAATTGAAAATTTAAATTGGATTAAATAAATTTAATTAACCATGATAATTACAGTGAGTAACCCACCGTAAGAGAGGTACATAGTAAATCAAATCAAATAAAAACACCCAAAGAACAAATAAACCCTATCGTTGTTGCTAGGTTACATGAAACCTAATCGCTGGACAATAGGAAAAATAGTCAGAAGTTGGAAATTACTAAATAGAATCGGAAGAAGACACAACTAACTACTACTAAGATTAACTATTCTTTTACCATAGAAAGTCACTAACAAATCAAAACACAAATTGAAGTTTGCATAAAATACATAAGATTTCATAAAACACATGTACCGACAGTGGCGTTGTAGGGCAGTGGCAACGACACGACAGCAATGCGGTAGCAGGAGCGGCGGCAGCGGGAGCGGCGACAGCGGTGGCAACGGAGCAGCGACAGCGGGGAGCAGCGACAGCGGGGAGCAGCGGCAGCGGTAGCAAAATGAGTCTAGGTCTGTTGAAAGTGATAGAAGGAGACGTAGGGGAAGGGAATTTTGGGAAAAAAAAAGATTAATTTAATATTTTTATTAAAAAATTAAAAAATTTTATCATTTTTAAAAAATATTTTTATTATTATATTAAAGATGTTTATATTTAAAATAATATTTAATTAAATAATTATTTCAATATAATAATTTTTTTATAAATACTAATTTCTAAAAAAAATTATAAAAAAATTATTTATAAAATTTTCTATTAATTTAAATTATTAAATACTTCCTACAAATTTAAATTTATATAAAATTTACAAAAAATAATTTTAAATATTTATCAATTTTTTTAGATATTTTTTCAAAAAATTATAATTATTTTCAAATAATTTATATATATATATAATTAATATATTTATAATAAATTTGGTAAAAATATTAATTTTTAAATAATTTTATAATTATTTTTTTGCTATAAATTTGCTACAATTTAACTATGATTGTATGTTATATAATTTAGCTAAGAAATAGCTTTAAAAAAGAATATAGTTAATATTTATAACTAGGGATTAGTGACACAAATTTTCTCTAACTAAATTATTTTTCTATTAAGTGAGGGAATAACTACAAAAATATTATCTTCTATCTATATTTACTACATATTAACTACAATTTTATTCCTTTACTATTCCATAGCTAATTAGCTACAAATAAATTTTGTAGCAAATTTTTCTAGCTAATTGAAAAATTTCTTGTAGTGGTATCTAACTCTAAGGTACTTGGTTTTTAATCTTATTAGTGATAATTTTCTTAATCGATAAAAAAAACTTTGTTAATAAGAGAAATTACATATTTTTGTGGTAAGACGATGAGATTTTTAGGTTAAACTAAAATTAGGGCAACTAAGTTGTTGTTATGGACTAAAACCCAAAAAGTAAAAAATAAAAAAATATAATTAAATAAAAGAAAAAATCTATACTTTTGCATTTTTATTTTCAAATATTAGTTTTTTTATGAAATTATTTTTAATTAAAATAATTAAAGTGATATATATATATATATATATATATATATAATTTTTTTATTTTAATTTATTAATATTATCAAATTTTAGCTTCATGATTAAAAAATACCAATAATTTAAATTTTATTAATTCTATAATTTTATATAATTATTATTATAAATTTAATTCTCCAATAACTAATAATATTAACACATTTATTAAATTAAAATTCTTTATTTTAATTAATTATTTTGATTTTTTTAACAATTTTTTAAAATAAAAACAATAAAACTTAAAATTAATTTCTAAATAAATCTTCACAGATTTATGGTTAATAGTATATTATATTATTATGTTTAATTAAATTTTAAAATAAGTTCACTTAATCTTTACACTTTTATAAAAATACTAATATAAACTTAAAATATTTATCCAATTATTAAATTATTTAAGATATTAATATAAATTTGAAATATCAATTCAATAATTAAAATAATTTTAATTTTTTTATAAATACATTGAAATACATTTTTATTAACATAAAAGTAATATATATATATATATATATATATATATATATATATATATCAAAAAGAGACTAAATTAATAATTACTTTAATGATCGATTTAGTGATCGAATCAGTGATCGATTCGGTGACTAATTTAATAATTAATTTTATTTTTTTTATTCACATACTAAATTAAAAAATAAAATCAAATAATTATATTACTAAATTATTTAATAAGTTAATAATCTATTTTTTAAATTTTTTATAATGTTATTAAAATTTTTATCAATTATTTTAAATTATTAAGTAGATTTATATTTAATATATTATTAAAATATTTTTAAAAAATATTTATATAAATAAAAAATGGTCACTAATTTATAGATTATTTGTTTAGTGATCTGAAATTTTAGTCACTAAATCGAGTCACTAAATATAAAAATAGAAATCATCACTAGATTCAGTTATTATTAGTAACTCGAATTTTTTGGTCACTAATTTCGATCACTATTAACCATTTTTCTAGTAGTGACCGAATCAGTGACCGATTTCCGTGACTAAAATTTTAGTCACTAAATCAGTCACTAAATATAAAATGGGAAATCAGTCACTGATTCAGTTACTATCAGTGACTGAATTTTTCGGTCACTATTAACCATTTTTCTAGTAGTGAACCCACCATTTTTCTATCAATTCCTGTACTTTCTTTGAATCTCTTTAGATTCTTCTAGGTATGTTCAATAAGTTGGACAGTTAGGTATGGATGAAACAAGTATAAAGTTAATTTGATGTTTAAATTCGCTTAAAGGTGGAAGCCCTTTAGGAGGTTCTTGTTGAAACATACAAGGATATGAATGTTGAACATATATGAATATGAAGCCTGTTGATTTTGATGATGATTCAAGAACAAAGGACTTAAAGATTTGAAGACTTGTAATATTATGTAATAACTCTGTTTTTATGATTTTGAGTCTGTAATATTAGAGTCAAAGATAGTCAGCACATAGTCTACTCTTTAAAGGTTCTAAAAACTCATTTTTATCAAAAACATACTGGATTAATCAATTAAATGGTAGGATAATCGATTATTACAGAGAGAAAAACCATTTTCAGCATCTGCTCTCTGGAATAATTGATTAAAGCCTCTGTTAATCGATTAATTGCTCTATTAATCGATTAAACTGCATGGTTTTGGGTTCCAGGTGAATTTGGCTCTAGAATAATCGATTAACACTCAAGATAATTGATTATTTCAGTCAGATATGTGTTTTGAAGTTAAAAATTGGACCAAGTTTCGAAAACCCTATTCCCAATTCATCTATTTTCGAAAATCCCCAATTCCCAAACCCTAATCTCTCTACTTAAGGTTCTCTCACTACAAGAAAAATCGAAATTTCTGACGGACAAAATCCGTCGGTAAGTAACAAAATCTGTCAGTAAATATATATTACCGACGGATTATCGACGGTCCTAAATCCGTCAGTAATAGTGTTGTCGGTAAAATTTACCGACGGATTTTGCTAGTCCGTCGGTAAATATCATGGATAATTACCGACGGATTTTTCCATGTAAATACCCATTACATTACCGACGGATATATCCGTCGGTAAATGTCATAGATAATTATCGACGGATATTTCCGTCGGTAATTACCAATCATGTGCAAATCTTACTGACGGATTATTCGTCGGTAAATCTGTCGATAAAACCACCTCTAGTTCCAGAGCAGTTTATTTTTTTTCCATCCCATATAACCTGTAAAATAAGATTCAATCCAGTCTAATTCAATAATATATTCAACAATTCAATTAAATATAAATCTAACTCACCTTAATCATAAGTAAATTCAAATGTACTATAATTTATGCATAATGAAACATAATGTATAATCCTAAAAAGAGTATCAACATACAAGTAGAATTGAAATATTATTCTATAGATGTTTGTATAACATTTAATAATGAGAATAATCAGGAGAATGATATTCTGGTATGTTGTCGTCCTGTGGTGGGTTATCTTGTTGCTCTTCATTCAATTGTAGTTGTTAGGGTTGTTGTTCATCATCTGCTTCACTATGTTGACGCTGTTGAACAAGAGATTGTGCACTGGGGGGTAGAAGATGACCGACAAGGGATTGAAACTCTCTGAATTGGTGCTCTAGTCGTTCATTTTGCTCCCTTGTTCGACATATTTCTTCTTCTTGTACAGACAATCGTTGTCTCAAATGATTAATCTCTTCTAAGTCAACTGAGGAGCTGGATGCTTGAGTTTGATGCTTCAAGCTATCTGAACCACCCTGATAGCCATCAGCAAGTTGTCCAACCCCATACAATCTTCCTTTATTCTTACCTCCAACTGTGTCCACCCAACAACGAGACCTTATAACTTCATCATGTGCAGTATCAGCAGGAGTGGACTCAGGTTCGCCAACACAAGATTCAGCAGATGACCTAGATTGTGAAAGTCTAGTTTCAAATTCCTCCTATTAGTAGAAACAAATAAATTATTAACATGATTATTAACTTTACATAATATACAAAGTTTAACATGAAGGTTCTCATGTGTGTCTTCCTAGATCTTTCATCAACAAATGGACCCGTCTTCCTCCTAATATGAGTATGTTGGAAGATCTCATCAATAAAAACTGATCTTCCAAGCTCCTTTGCCTACATTACATAAACAATTTGAGATATAAAACCCAATAAATTT